CCCCCCCCCCCCCCCTTCCCTTTCCCCTCTGGGCCCTCCCCAGTTGGATGCCATTTGCCATTCAGAACCCCGATTACCTTCCGTTCCACCGAGAAGGGGTCCCGATGCTGCAGCTGCTCTGTCCGCATCACTTGAGTCTGCGTTGTCGACCTGAACTCTGCTTTTTTTCCACAACAAACAGTAATTGCCAAAAAAAAGAAGACAAATCGTACGCCGTAAATGAAAATTATGAAATGCAGAGTACAGGGGAAAAAAAAAAGAACCAGATTCATTATTAATTTTGAATTGTTACCAACTTACCATTATAGTATACTATTAATATACGGTAATATACACAGAAAAAGAATACTACACGAACTGGATTCCTTTAGGCTACTGGGATTCTGGGAAACCATAGTAAGTTTAGAACGAAAATATGGTAATTATTTAAGATTTAAGATTTATCATTATTGCCACTGGAAGTAATACTGATTGATCTATATTATTTGACGTACGCACAATGCCGCCCCCCCCTCCTCCTCGTCTTCTTTCTCCTCCTCCTCTCTCTCCTCCTCCTCCTCTTCTTCCTCCTCCTCCTCTTCTTCCTCCTCCTCCTCTTCTTTCTCCTCCTCCTCTCTCCTCCTCCCCTTCTTTCTCCTCCTCCTCCTCCTCCTCCTCCTCCTCCTCCTCCTCCTCCTCCTTGTAAACCCAGAGTATGCACGTACTAACTAGCACGTACAGTTCCGACACTCTGTTATCTATACCGTATAGCAAGACTCTATCATGTTGTCCCGGACCATACAGTATAGCATAATAGCAACACACTCTGTTATCTATACCGTATAGCAAGTCGCACTGTCATCTATACTGTTCATGTCATGACTCTTATCCCCTGGAATCTCTTGCTACTTTTCTCATTCAAGGTCTTAGCTCTTATACTTTTTTTCAACACAAGCAGACTCTGAGACCGAAATTCGAATGCCCCTTATCCTGATGCATGAACGCATTGAGCGGACCTTGGTTACCGTCGTGACGGTGGTGGTGCTCCAGCCAATTGCCAATTGCTCACTCGCGACTCGACTTCAAGTTGGTGACAGCCACTGACAGTACTAAGGAACCGCTGACTCCTCGTGACTCGTGACTCGTGACCAGTGACTAGTGACTCGACGTGGACCACGACTGCCGAAGCTCACTAACGCTGAGTCAGAGTCGATTGAGAAAGACAAGCCATAGCTGTGATAGGCTAACGTGGAAGCACCAAGTCAGTGAATGTAGACATATTCGAGCTCCATATCTTCGAGCTGCATATCTTCGACTATAGTGTACTATATACTATAGTCGTGCCTAGCAGTATAATATAGTATAGTAGAGTAGAGTAGAGTAGAGTATATGTCGGGCGAAGCGACAGGACGACTCACAGGAGTGATGATAAGGGATCCACACTCGACGGGACTATAAGTTGGATAGGTAGGGAAGACGGCAATAGACACGACTATGGTGATCCACACAGATTCCACAGTGATTCTACACACAGACGCACGCGCGCGCGAGTGTGCATGCCATCGGATGACTCTATTAGTCCTGACTCCTGTCCCAAGGAACACGACAGTCACTATAATTATTGTAGAAATGCGACACTCAGTCACGATCAACGTGAGCGATAACGACTTCACAATGTCACATTGTTAGACTGAATAGTCGTGTCGCTCACGTTCGTGTGGAGGGACCATGGGCGACATAATAGGAGTGTCACTTGTCACTTGCGCGACAAGACTTTTCAGTCTAACCATCATGCGACCGCTTAGTCGTATAATCGACTAATCGGCAACCACTCTCAAACTGGCGAAGTCTTATAGTACTTAGACTTATCTATTCCGACACGACTATTCTCTATTCTAACAATGTGACACTATAGTCGTGCCGTGGATCTCATGACAATGATGACAACATTGCAACAATGCGACTGACATTATAGTCAATCACACCCACACGCGACATAGACTTTGCCAGAGTGGAGACGAGAGAAAAAAGTCTATAAGAGTCTATAAGAGTCTATAAGAGTCTAAAAGAGTCTAAAAGAGTCTAAAAGAGTATAAAAGAGTATAAAAAAGTATAAAAGAGTATAAAAGAGTCTAGATCCATGACACGACTGTAGAGATCCACTCGCACACGTGACACGACGGCGAACAACACAGACTATATAGAGTGATCCACTCGCACACGAACCTGGACGATATGACGGCAATGTACACGACAATAAGTTGGATAGCTTGAGATAAATAGACTTCGCCTGTCAGTGACTGGACGAGGGAGAAGGGTGGGGGGGGACGTTGGTGCTGCTATGAAAGCACGAACCTGGACGCTATTATGGCAATGTACACGATCGCTCGGGATATATTATAGACTTCGCCTGAGTTCAGTGAGTTGTCGAGGCAGAATGGGACGATGATCTTAGAAGATCGGTCGGTCTGACAGTGTCTGGAGAGCGACCGACCGATCGATCGTATTACGGCTATGAAAAAATAATGAAAGCACGAACCTGGACGCAATTACGGCAATGTACACGATCGCTTGGGCGCTCTCCATTGCTCTAGCACAGTGTGTGGTCCTTGAGAGTAAGGGCCAGGCCCCACTGGTGGTGCTATGTTCGTGCTGTGCTGTGAAAGCATGAACATGGACGCTGCTCTGACGGCCAGCTTCGTGCTCCCTATTGACCTCCCCCTCCCCCGAGTCCCCTCCCCCCGCCCCCCTTTCCTCTTCCTACATCGGTCCCTACGTGTCCCAATGCATAACCCCTCGATTCATAAACCCCTAAAACCCGTACATTGTCACAATGTCACATGACTCACATCCCTTTTTCCCTCCCCCCCCTCCTTTTTTTCCCCTTTCCCTTTGATCATATACCCATTCACAATTGCAATTTTTCGTAGAGAATGCAGCTGTGATTGTGGTCAGATGCATCCCAGAAGCTCGTAGTCTGGCGATGGGCAGGCCTCAAGTGTTCGTTGATCTGCAACAAAGTGGCAATTCACAAGCTATGCACACACACACACACACACACACACACACACACACACACACACACACACACACACACACACACACACACACACACACACAGAGAGAGAGAGAGAGAGAGATGATTCTACCCCAGAAATGGTCGATTGATGCACGTAACAATAATCATAATTTTCAAGAGAAACAGCAAAAATTATGTGTCTTATATAGTACGTATCCAAATGGAAGTGGATTCAAAAAAAAAACTGAAATCAGCTCGTTATTGAAAAATGGCAATGACATTGTACTCCGATTTAAATTCTCTGTCGAAAACTGTTCTAGCGGCTCTTTTTTTTTCTTTTCTTTTTCTCTTTTTCCCTCGTTAATAAGAAAGTGCTTGGAAGTCGGATTTCCTTTTAGTTTTCCCCTTCCTTTTTCAATTTCTTTCTTCAGGGGCCAAGTTCCACTCGCAGCGCTTGAGTTTCCTCAACGCCTGAATCTGGACGTGTTCGTGGAAATGTGCGGTTGAGGAAAGTCAGCGCGATTTCTGCACATCTCCACAAACACGTCCAGATTCAGGCGTTGAGGAAACTGGACGCTGCCAGTACCAGAAAAGAAAAACAGAAAATAAAGAAGAAAAAAAACGACAAAAAAAAAAAAAAAAAAGGCGGGCAAATCAACTCTAAAAATCATCCAGTTCGGTAATTCAACATTTTTTATCTTTACTACTCTTCTTCACCCACCCGAATACAACGTACGGTCGTGACTGATGTATTTAGACGGAAAGATACACCACATGCAGCTATTATGACCTTACGTTGTAATCGGGTGCACTGGGTGAAGAAGGGTAGTCTACGTTAATTTCTACAGCCAAATGCAACCTGAATGAACGATCACTCAGAAGAGTCAGAACCTGCTTTTTCTTTGTCGGATATTTCTTTTTTTTTTCTACTTTCGAAACTTTTTATTTACATTGCTGCAGCTACTCTATGAATCTATGATGATATAACGTTTATATGATCATTTTTTTGATGATATATCATCACAAAAATAATTATAATGTAATAACATTATAATGATTATATTAACATAAAAGCACCAACCTGTTCCAAACATCGGCGATGGCATCCTTCGTCGGGCCTTGCCGTTCTGTCGCAACAACCCGCCCAGGACGAGGCTGAACCGGCAACCCACCACCTCCTCCTGCTCCTCCTCCTGCTCCTGCTCCTGCTCCTGCTCCTGCTCCTGCTCCTCCTCCTCCTCCTCCTGCTCCTCCTCCTGCTCCTCCTCCTGCTGCTGCCATCGCCATGGATATGGCCGCAGCGCTTGCGCTCCCTTTTCCTTCTTCCGACACCACAACATCGACTCCTCCTCCTCCTTTTCCAACTCCTCCTGCTCGCCCTGCAGGGCCTGCACAGCTACCTCCGCCTCCTCCTCCTCCTCCTCTTCCCATTCCCATTCCCATTCCCACTCCCACTCCCACCGACTCCGACGACAAGAACCTAGTACCATCATTCTCACCACGAGGGGGGTACAACAAGAATGCAGGTGGGTACATACGTCCCGCGCCGGCGCCCGCGCCCGATCCCATCGATGCCGATACCGCTCCCGATCCCGATCCGTTCAGCAATATGCGACCCGATCCCACTGGCGAAGCTCCTCTGGGCCCAAGGGTTCCACCTCCAGTCACACCTCCACTCGTTCCCTGAGTCCCGAAACTTCCTGGAACAGCACTTCCAGCCTTTCCAGGTGCTGCTCCTGCTGCTCCTGCTGCAGCTAGGCGACGATCTGCAGAGTGCGTCGGAGATGAAGCCAGATTGGCATCGGGATGACTGCGAGTGGGAGGGGTTGCATTTCTGAAGAGAACTTGTCCTCCTCCTCCAGTGGCAACAGCCCTCTCCGGGCCAAAATGAGTATCCGAATGATGATGATCATGATGATGATCATCACCCTGTCCCCAGGATAAGCGCGGAGACGAGGAACAAGCAAACGAAGCGTCTGCAAGCTGAGCACCATCTCTGTCAGCCATGGCCGCTACTCCAGCTCCTGCTGGGTGGGTCGCTGGTACCGTCGCCCAATTCGTCGCAACCGTCGCACAACCTGCCTTGTTCCGACAGCTGACGTTGCTAGATGAGGTAGACGGACCCCCATTGTGACCCCCATGATGACCCCCGTTATGAGCCCAATTGTGACCCCCGTTATGAGGCCCATTGTGCGGCCCATTGTGAGCCCCCTTACTATAATTACTGATACTATGATGAGGATGAGGATGAGGATGAGGATGAGGGTGAGGGTGAGGATGAGGATGAGGATGAGGATCGGAGCTGCTAGCTCCTAATCCTTTGATCATCTTCACCAAGGAGAACCAGCTGCTCTTGGCAGTGGAGGAGGGAGAACGGGGAGAGCGAGACGGTGTGCGGCTGCGGGGGTCTAGCTGGCCACGATCCTCCTTGCGAGAAGACAAGGAAGATGATGATCCCGATCTGGATCCCGAGTATCCCGAACCCAATCCCGACGACGACGACATCGTCGCAATAGTAATACCCCCAGTAGTAGTAGTACTACTGGTAGTTATAGTTGTAGTAGCAGTAGATAGTAGTAGTAGTTCTAGTAGTAGTAGCAGTAGTAGTCCTAGTAGTACTAGTAGTTCTAGTAGTTAGTGTAGTAATAGTAGTAGTAGTAGTAGTAGTAGTAGTAGTAGTAGTAGTAGTAGTTCTAGTTCTAGTAGTAGTAGTAGTAGTAGTAGTCGTAGTACTAGTAGTAGTAGTAGAAGTAGTAGACGTGGCGATGGCGATGGCGCAGGTCTCCGGTCGAATTATTAACGAAAAGAGTGAAGACAGTCGTCTGCCTGCCACGTGTACTGTTATGTGTATTGGAAAGAAGAACGTGGGGGAGGGGGGGGGCGGGGGGAACGAAAAAAAAAAAGAAAACAGGAAGAGAGAAGACGCTAAGAAAAAGATGGTCGACCTGTCGTTAGTCAGAAATCGAGAGCATGGATGAATAGATATGGATTGGTAATCTGTTCTGGACTGACTCGATTAGTAATTTATGCCTGTCGAGTCCTATCACTGCCGACGCGACGATCCTATCATTGCCACATACTGCACGCCGGATAAAGATATGGATAACGACTGTCCAGCTGCGATTTCTTAATCGTTTTTCGCAAACGACAGCGAACTCTATAAATAGCACACTCTAAACGGCGAGGTTCAAAGGAAACTACCATAACCACGATCTCTCTCTCTCTCTCTCTCTCTCTCTCTCTCTCTCTCTCACACACACACACACACACACACACACACACACACACACACACACACACACACCACACTCGCTCGCTCGCTCAATCGATCGCTAATCCCGGCGCTGATTGCCGCGTCAGGCAAAGATATGGCTATGGATATGCTGGAGATCAACATAATATACGCATTCCCCCCCTCCTCACCCGTTTGGGCTCTACATGTAGTCAGTGGTTGGGTAATGGTGACCAGGGGATTGATTCCACTTATCCAGGGGTGGAGTTCTCTTTGCGGACCGTCGATTACAAAGCATCAATGATCAGGAACGCACACAATTCCGCAAGATCTGGGGACTGAGTGGGGCGAGTAGGGCCCTTGCACCAAAAAAAGAAAAAAAAAATGATTAACATAATTGGAAAAAAAGAAAAGTTGCACCACCTTCACAACGACGGCGGTCGATGGAACGGAATGTGGAAACGAAATGAAAAAAGAATAAGAAAAACTGGAAAGCCGACTGCATGAAGAGAGAGTATTATTCTGTTCTTTTCACAGTATCTAGATTCGAACTCGGGTCTGATTCATATTTCAACAGCTCATAGCCCCATGGGTGTACCAACTGAGCTCATGCGCCCGTTGGTACATAAGGAGTATAATTATTAATTAACTATCCCGTCGTTTTGCAGCCTCCGGAAAGCTGGGAACCTACCCAACAAAGAAGAAGAAGAAGAAGAAGAAGAAGAAGAAGAAGAAGAAAGACTGAAAAGCGGACTACATGCAGAAGAAAATTTAAACCTCTGACCATTCGAATGGCCGGTGATCGTGTCACCGACGGTCATGAATTCTTTCATTTACGAGTGTGCCCTTTTCTCATCTGTTCTTTTTTTTATTGTTGTTGTTGTTGTTGACGTTCTTTTTGTCTTTTCAGGGCACAAAAAAAAAAAAACAAAAAAAAAACAGACTATTTGGACTATTTTTCTTTCTTTTCAGCGAGGGGGTTTAGAAATTTGACCGAACAATTAAAAAAGCAATTAAAGAAACGAGTCCTCTTCGCGTGTTCAGCGGAACCAAGACCCGCGTTTCCTTAGATCTATTACCAACCCCTTAAAAAAAAAAAAAAAACATCCATCATCCATCCATCCATCCATCGTGTCCGTCAATCCATGGCGCCAGTCGTGACCGGTCGGCTGCAGCGGTACCGATCGGTCGTTCGTCGGGTCGGCTGTGCTTCCCGGTCGTGGCCGCCTGAAAGGCGACCAGGAGATGGCAGGCGAAAGCGGAGATGTTGCCCGCCAGCTGGTGTGCTGACTCAGCAGCTGCTCATCCCTCCCTCTACTCATCTTCTCTCATTCCCTCCTTCTCCCATGCTCCCTTCCGCCATCAGACATCCCCTTCGTCCCGACAGCTCCAACGGCTGTCGGATGCGCCCGTTGACTTTGACTTTGATGATTGGCCGCTTTCCCAGACAAGCCGGGACATCTGAGCGGTCTCTGGTCAAAGAAGCCGACCCGTCGCGGCTGTCTGGGGGCTGTGCTAAGGGCGTCGCCGCACTACTCTTTTTTTCGTTTTTTTTTCGATTATTTTGTTATAAAGACTAATTCTTTTTTTTCCTTCTTTTTTTTTTTTTTTTTTTTGAAATACACTTGAGCTTTATTACCAATTGATAAGAATTCGAGGCCGGGGCCCTCACAATTCAACCCGGAGTAGCTATAGAACCAATCACACTGGAAAACCGGGTCCAGCGTCCCATGCCTACTCACTTTCTCAATTATCTAAGGCTAATTCTCTTTTTTTTTTTTTTTTCTATATTCTTCTCTCAACTTCTGTTTTTTGCCTTTCACTACCTACTCCTAAGGCTATCTAGAGGGGACCCCTGCAAGCATAGTTTCCTCTCACTGTGAAGGGGAGATTTCATGTTGCCCCTTGCCCCTAATGTTTAGGGTATAGGGTTGGGGCCGCCAGTGGGGGTCTGGCTAACACAAAGACCGAAACCTGCCAGTAGCTGCGCCTCCCTTTCTCATCGTCTCCCACCCCTCATCCAGTAGCAGCAGCAGCTATTTAAGCCCAACCGTTTTTCTTTTTTGTTTTTTTTTTACCTGTCGAATCAGAAGAAAAGATAAAAAAAAAATATGTCGAATGTGGACAGGATGGCCTTCGAGGACCTTTTTTTGTTGTCATTATGGTAGTACGGGAACTACCGTAGCAGGCACTTCCGTGCTCAAGCCTCCAACGAGGGAACAAGCGGGAGGTGCACCCACCAACAGGGGAGGACCCATGCTGGTCTTCGGTGGGCCCAGTCCCGGTGCCTCCCCTCTGGTCCCCTGCCCCTGTGAACGTCAGCAGTTTCTGCTCAATGCCACTCGGGGGGTACCAACGGCACATATGTAGGTGGCGGGCGCCAAGCTTGCCCAGGAAGGTACATGAGGCCAATGGGGATTGAACTCAAGCCTCCTGAATGCCACTCGCGTGCCTTACCAACTGAGCTAGGCCGCTGGATTTCGCCCTGTTGCTCACCAAGTGTACAAAATGATGTGTAAGCCGAATTTTCGGCAAGCCATAAGCTTAAATTTGGCATTTGTCCATTTGTTGAGTGTTGCGACGAGGCCCTAAGCTGCACTACGGGGGGGTTAGACTTGGTTATCAAGTCCGCACCGGTGCCTGCCATCCGATCTGAACATCTAACGGCCGCACTGTGGCCAAGTTGGGAAATAACTGAAAGGAAGTAGAAGCCACCGGTTTTTCAATTCAATTCAATTCAATTCCAAAAAAAAAAAAAAAAAAAAAGACTAAACCCCCGCTAGTGGGACATAGCCCAGGGGTCCTCACCCCCATGCCTACACCTAACCCCCGAGAGCCAAGCTAGCTGCCCAAGCCTTATTCCCGTCCCTATCACTACACTACACCTACGCCGTGTCGGGACCCGTGCAGCAAAAGCGAAATGGGCACAGCCCATCTCTTTGCCGAGATTGCCGGCTATGGTCGAAGGCTCCAAGGGCCACGTTGTCAGCCAAAGCCTACCAGGCTTTTCAAAATTTTCTTGCCTTTTTCTTTTTGAAAAAGGGGCTAGCCCCCTTTTAATGATTGTATCACCATCGCTCTTCCTCTCAGAAAGGCAATCAATGCTGCTCACCACTACACAATTGATTCAGCACATACACTATCACCCTTCACAAACTTTGGACAGCTCATTCATACGATTACCATGTACAGGGACGCTGCTCTTACCAGCACCCCTAGCGCCAATCCGGAAGTTTCTTCAAAAAAAAAAAAAAAAAAAAAAGAATTTCAAAAGGGTAATCTATATTCTTCTCTCAATATCTATATATATTTTCCTCATCAATCTCATCCTCTCACTACTCTATGTATACTACAGGGGGGACGATCTCTCCCCAGCCCACGGGGTACGTTTGTACCACAGGGGTGGTGCGAGAGCAAGGCTGTACCAGCCCCTCATCACGGTGCAGATGCGGGATGGGCAGCCAATGGGCGCGGCCTGTGGGGGAAACCAGCAGTGCTAGTGCAGAGCACTATGGCCAGTGGCTGCACCGGTTCGTTTTACCCATGGGGTGCAACACAGATCCACCGCGGGAAGAAAAAGGCTGGGAGGTGATGGTGGTTTAAAAGAAAAAGACTTTTCGTTTCGTGGTGACGACGTGGTGCAGAGTGTGCACTTGGTCATCATGGACATTCAGGTGCATTCTGTCCAGTTTAGTTTTCGCATGCCCCAACTTGAGTGGCCATTGGATGTCTCCATGGCTGAGGAGCCTGGATATCTGTCTAATGATAGTTCTGCGAAAAAAGAGGTGAAAAAAAGAGAAAAGAAGGATGTATATCTGGATATCCAACCTAACGAAGACCACTAGTACCTTCGCCGCTTCAGAAATGAAGGAAAACGCCAGCTCCCGAAGAATTCGGAGGGCAGGCCCGACGACCGTCGCCATTGATAAATCTAATCGGCGGCCGTCATTTCGTTTCGGCCTCCTGAAAGGTCGGAGGCCCACTATTTTCCGAACCGACAAAGGTACTACTAGTGGTTTAGGCCGCCACTTCACACGAGCCTAAGCTGACAAAGCTACCTCCAAAAAAAAAAAAAAAAAAAAAAAAAAAAAACAAAGCTACCTCCCAAGGCTCGCTAGCCTGCAAGTGCACCCCTTTTCAAAGCGGCCTGCGGCTTTTGCTAAAGGCCCAGGCCCAAAACGAAATGCTCTTACTACCACGTACACCGGCTAGAGCACTGCTCTGCTTCGGGTG